AGTGTTGGTCCTTTGTCTGGTATGGACATAGAAATACAGAAACTACTGTAACAAACATACATAAAACAGTCTTGATGTTCATAAAACACATTTCGAAGGCGGCAATGTATATTAATTTTAGCTACCTAAACATAATTGCATTGCAAACCAAATTTCATGATTATATTTGAAACCGTAACGTGTTCAGTGAGACCAAAATGCAAATGTATGATTTCTTTTTGGATAAATTTATCTCAGAAATAATTTTAAACTTTAGAACTTCTTGTTTGCAGGAACGGATCTCTCATTTACGGCCGATTATAAATTAGAACCATATGTTCCTGTTGTAATTGATTCAAAGTGATTCTCTTTTCTAGTTTTCTTAATGTCCAGGATTATGGTATTCACATCTTTCTTTGATGTCAACAGTCCATGATAAACCCAAGTACTATTTTAAGGTTGTGCAGACTGTAAGATTTCCCACTTTATCATAAAAAATCATGAACGTATGACTATTAATTACTCAGTAATAAATGCTATACTTTTGTCAAAGTTTCTACGATTTCATTATCATCTGTAGGCCTGCTACAATATCTTTCTATAATCTTCTTGTGGAAAAAAATCATTTACCAACAGCACACATTGTTTAATCATATCAGGATGTTTAAATATGTATCAAAATGAGCAACAACAGTTCATTTTGACCATGTTTACATCAAAACATTACAGCCTTTACCGGTCTTCAAATTGAAGAGCATCATTTTTAGTATGTCTAAATACCAAAAAGTTCAAAATAAGTTACCATTTCCAGACAATTTAATGCATAAGTGAATGTATATATGAACATGTACCAGATATGCTACTATCATTTCCTGATGCACTCATCGTCATCTTTTAGAATATGTAAATTTCTTTTTTATTGTAGACTGCTTTTGTTGAGAAAATTATACCGTAATTCACTATATAAGCAGTCAAGTTTACTGAAACATCAAAATCTATTGTCTAACCATAATTACACAAGGTGACTGCTAACAATGACATCTCCCTACACCACAGAGAGCAAACAAGGCAACAAGACATTTTTCCAAAAAATGTTGTTTGAACAAGATTTTCAAGTTGTGCCTGGTTTTCTCTGGAAATACCTCTTAAAGTTTCTAACATCAACATTATTTTGTAAGCATCTGATTCTACTTGCTAATGAACATTTGATGATGACATGTTCCATTAACAATTTAATGAAGATAATATTAATACAAGATATCGTATGTCAATAATATGTTAATAATATTAAAGTCATTTTAGAATTATGTAAAGTTCAATCAAAATTCACTGTAGATGAATCCTCATAAATATACTAACAACTGATAATAAATCTCTTTACATGTACATTCCACTGTATGCATCCCCATAACATCACACCTCACTGCTAATGAATTCCACATACATTCACACACAACTCTGGGTAAAGTCTAATAACATTTACTATACTCTTCTGGTAACGTATAATAAATTCACACACAACTGAATTTGAAATTAACATTCGCACTTCACTGATGAACAATCCTCGTTAATTCATACTTGACTTATAATAAATCCTCATATATAGACACTTACTGGTGAAACATCCTCAGCAATTCAACATTATTGATGATAAATCCTCATAAATTAACACACCTTTGGTGATAGTGATGGTGAACCTCAATAAACTAACATACCATTGGTCATGGTGGTGGTGATCCTCAATTAACCAACAAAATATTGGTCGTTCATGGTATACCTCAATAAACTAACACACCATTGGTCATGGTGATGGTGAACCTCAATAACATGACACACCATTGGTCATGGTGATGGTGAACCTCAATAAACCAACAAACTATTGGTTGTTGATGGTGACCTCAATAAACTAACGTCACTGATGTATCAGATTGGTAAAGTCCTATGATATACACACCACTGTGATATTATACTCTTAACTCACCAATACTTATGATTTCTCTTAAATTCACGCACCACTAATTGTGAAGCCTTTTTGATTTCACAGACAACCGACTGTGAATCCCGATCAATTTTAAGGAATTTCATTACTAATTGTGAATCCTGATCAATCCCCCATAAACTACTGATGAATCCTTATAAACTCACGCAAGACTAACTACAATCCGACATCGCTTATTATGCAAATTCGTTAATTCACAGTTCGAAAATGGCAAATCTTGATGAACTTACACATCAGTGATGATGAATCCTCATATATTCAACTTTCACTGATATGAATAGTTATTCTTTCACACTGCAATGATGATGAATCAACATGACCTTTCACTTTTCTGATGATAAATTCACACTTCTCTAATAATGAATTATCACCAATTCACAAATTAATGACAATGATTCAGACAAATTCACGCAACACTGATTACAAATGCAGATATAATGGTTTTGGTATTATTATTTATTATTTTTGGCTTTTAACTAGCGTTCAGTAACTGCGAGTACTCTTATATCACACGTTCGTGGTGTCAATTTGAACTGTTGATACAATTTTATTTCTTTTGTGTTATTTAATGTTTACTTATTTAGTGTTATATCTGGCGTCTCTCTCTTTTAAATATATACCAGCTTTGATAAGTGTTTGGTATTGTCAACGTATATTGATTTACCTGTGTACATTATTCAATCTGGCGGCATTTTGTTCAAGGTTATGGTTGTCTTTCTGAAATTTTTAAACATCTCACACCTTATTTTATCGATTTTGTATTTACATTGTGTCATAGATCAAATTTATTTGTTCAGTGTATGTTCACTAGAGTGTGTTAATATGTCTTTTGATTGAGTTAAGCCCATTCAATTGATATGTTATAGTGTGTCTTTCTTTGTTGTGATGTTACACTATTGTTTCAGGTAATTGTGAAAGTTGGTACCTATTAAAACGTTTAAACCCGCTGCATTTGTTTGCAACTGTCTTAAGTCAGGAACCTGATGTTCAGTGGTTGTCATTTGTTGATGTGATTCATAAGTGTTTTTCGTTTTTCGTTTTTGTCGAGCCTTAGACTTTTGTCGAAAAAGCGAGACATAGCGATCCTACATTCCGTCGGCGTCGTCGTCGTTGTCGTCGTGTCGTCGTCGGCGGCGTCCACAAATATTCACTCTGTGGTTAAAGTTTTTGAAATTTTAATAACTTTCTTAAACTATCCTGGATTTCTACCAAACTTGGACAGAAGCTTGTTTATGATCATAAGATAATATTCAAAAGTAAATTTTGTAAAAAAAAAAATCCATTTTTTCCGTATTTTACTTATAAATGGACTTAGTTTTTCTGCCAGGAAACATTACATTCACTCTGTGGTTAAAGTTTTTAAAATTTTAACAACTTTCTTAAACTATCCTGGATTTGTACCAAACTTGTATAGAAGCTTGTTTATGATTTAAAAGCTAGTATCCAGAAGTATATTTTGTAAAAAAAAAAAATCCATTTTTTCCGTATTTTACTTATAAATGGACTTAGTTTTTCTACCAGTTAACATTACATTCACTCTGTGGTTAAAGTTTTTAAAATTTTAACAACTTTCTTAAACTATCCTGGATTTGTACCAAACTTAGACAGAAGCTTGTTTATGATTAAAAGCTAGTATCTAGAAGGAAATTTTGTTCCATTTTTTCCGTATTTTACTTATAAATGGACTTAGTTTTTCTTCCAGTTAACATTACATACAGTCTGCAGTTTAAGTTTTTAAAACATTTATTAGATTCATAAACTATCCTGGATTTTTACCAAACTTGGACAGAAGCTACTTACAATCAAAAGATAGTATAGAGAGGAATATTTTTATTAATTTTTTTCCACATTTTTGCTGAGCCTGTGATTAACAGCAAAAAGTAGGCGAGACACTGGGTTCCGCGGAACCCTTACAAATTTTTTATATATAGATTAGACCGTTGGTTTTCCCGTTTGCATAGTTTTACACTAGTCATTTTTTGGGACCTTTTATAGCTTGCTGTTCGGTGTGAGCCAAGGCTCCGTGTTGAATACCGTACTTTGACCTATAATGGGTTACTTTTACAAATTGTGACTTGGATGGAGAGTTGCCTCATTGGCACTCATACCCTATGTTCAAACACTATGATGATTAACCCCAATAAATAATCATATTATTTAACTTGTACCGCTTTAATTTCAATTAAACCGTACTTTGAAGATATCTTAAGTTCACACAAAACTTTTTTTTAAGTTTGACCACTGAAACATAAAATTTTGAATGGAAATAGGGAATGTGTCAAAGAGATAATAACCCGACCAAAGAGTAGAAAACAGACGAAAAGCCACCAACACAGCGAGAAAATCCCGCACACGGAGGCGCGCTTCAGCTTGCCCCTAAACACAAATATGTACTAGTTTATTGATATATTATTTGATATATATTGCATCTATATATTTTTTACTCAACGTTCTCCAGTTGCAGACACATACGTTTTGATGTTTGTTATATGTTAATATTACAGATTGGGAGGACTCCATCATTGATTGCTGCCCGGGAGGGATATTTCCTTATATATAACTAGTTCGATATTGATTATGCAAAGTGGGTCTTTATTCACAGTCTTATTGAATTAAATGACGTATTCTGTTTTGATGTTTCGTGTTTCAAAAAAAGTTGACAAGAACAAGGCAGATAATATTTGTAATACAGATCTAATGTAAAACGTAGCTTAAAAAAAAGAAATAATGGTTTCAATTATATGAAATGGAGGTTATATTTTACTTCAGGTTGTCTCATCTGAAAGAATCCATTTGATGTTAATACGTGTTATGCATTTCTCAATTAAAGTTTTAACAAGGGAAACCCTTCAACAAATGCTATGTATTCGTTGTTAATCGTAGAATATATACACCAGTGTTACTGTTATTTTTTTATCAGTGTTGACCCTGGAATCATGTGATATATATTTTATTGATATGTAATTAACATAATTGTTCAGTTTATGACTAAAGTGTTGATGTCTGTTATATGTTGATATAGGAAGGAGTTACACCACTGTCGCATGCTGCCTACTCTGGCCACCTGGAGATCGTCCAATATTTAGTCACGGTCGGCTGTGATAAAGAGACAAAAGAAAAGGTAATGATACTTATCTGCTTCTCCTCTTAAAAATTAATCAACACAAAACCATGTTGTTTGTACTACAGGTTTAACACGATAAAAAACATGCTTGTAACTTTAATCCTGTTATTTAGATTTGTCTCATTGAAAAACAAATCTATTGCTAATTTTATATATTTTTCAAAAATATTTTTTTTAATAAACGCCATTTCTGAATAAAGTTTTGATATATGAAAACAAAACATGTTGTTTGTGTTGTTAACATAGAATATTAAATACAAGTGTGACTGATCATTTCATTAAGTTTTGTATCATCATATATTGACACTCATTGGTGATGCATCCTCAGCAATTCAACATCATTGATGATCAATCCTCATAAATTAACACACCATTTGTCATGCTGATGGTGAACCTCAATATACCATCAAACTATTGGTCGTTGATGGTGACCCTCAATAACCTAACACATCATTGTTCATGCTGATGGTGAACCTCAATAACACCACTGATGTATCATGTTAAATTCACACAAAACTAATGATGCATGCGGTTAGCTTACTATATGTTGCATTATCAATCCTCATAAATTCAAACTGCACTGATGATGACTTGTAATAAAGTTCCACTTCACTGATCATTAATTATGATTAATTCGTACACAAATACTGAGGCATCGTGATCCGGAACATCATTGATTGATACATTCGTACACCATCAGGCTGAAATACCCATTGCAATCGACTGACCCTCTATTGGTAAAGTCCTATGATATACACAGCACTGATAATCAGTCTTCGTAACACTCCGATACTGATGATGCCTATTTAATTGACGCACAACTGATTTTGAAACCTTTTGGATTTCACAGACCACTGAAAGAATTTCATTTATGATACATCAATAGTTTATGAATTTATCAGTATTCATGAACTTTTGAAATAATTAAAAACTCTCGCACCACTAACAAAAAATCGCCATGAATTCATTCTATTCTTATTGTAAATGTTCTTAGTCAGATATTATTATTTAAACAGATCCACTGTTAAATATATTTTGAAGACAAAAAAAAAAATACTTGTTACAAAATATTTGTATTAGGATTTGTATGCTCGAAATTAATCAAGGTATACTAATATTATATACATTAAATTTTTGTCTAAGTTTAATTGTCTCATCATATGTTCTCAGATAACTAGCATGATAAAGAACCAACTTTGTTTTCCGTCAAAAAATATTCTATTGAAATATGCTTGAATTCTCCTGAATAAGAGATTTGATTAGCTGAATACGGAAACAAATAATACAAACAAGTGAAACAATAATAAGTCACTGGAAAAAGAGAATTCTTCAATGATAAGTATAATAGCAATTGTAAAATCGCTTCTTAAAACAAACCTTACATATTTAACTTCAGTAACAAACTTATTACATGATTCAAGAGTTCAAAACTATAATTTACAATTGTATATAAGAGTGTAAACTGGGAAGTGATTCCGACATCTTACTTTAAACAATTTGGTACGGATTTCCTTTTACTATGAATCCATACAATATTTACTCCAAACAAAACCTATATAACATTTGACCCAAAATTTTCTTTAGAAATGATCAGGTCCTGGTTCAAAAGACACAATTAAAATAATGTCGAATTTATTTTGAACTTATAAACATAAGAAAACAAATCGTATCGGGAACCAAACTGATAAAGTTTCAAATCAAAGGTTTAGTTTTTAAAGAATGGATAAGAGATTATAATTTGTATATAAATGATATTATTGACAAGAATGGTAACATTCTCAAGATATTATATCTAATACAGTATCTTCAAAATCAAATATAGTAAATAAAATTTCAAAACTAAAATATGCTATACCAAATGCTTGGTTAAAAGAAGTTAAATCAGATAGATCAATAAAATCAAAAGAATTTCATAGGAGTGTGTGTATAAGATAATATTATGAATATTGGAATTTCATATATTTCAATAAAGTTTCAAATAATAGTTCTGATAGAAGTTTTGACAGTTCACAACATGGGTCTGAATCAATTGATACATGTTGTATTTTCCTGAACCCAAGGTGATGTTATACATATCATCTACTTAATGAATCAACACAGAATCATAGTGTTTACCAAACAGGTTTAAGGTCAAGGATCAGTTAATAGGCTATGTCAAAGATTTTGCTAAAATGTTGTAAACAATATCAGCTCGTCGATCTTTAACTGAAAATCGAAAACAAACTATGTATGTATATCTGAAATATCACTGAACATGCTGAATGAGTACTTTCAAAATAGGTGAACATTTGTCGGTGACCCTATCATTATTTTACATCATTAAACCGATATGTATTAGAATCATATACAGTTGGATTTTATGTTTGCGTATCTCATCGTACTTAATCAGGTAAAAAGGACTTATTAAGAGGCAATGCCAGAGAGCACCAGGCAGGAGTGTTCAACGAAAAAAATCGTAATTTGGTTAAAGCTATCTTTTATCAGATCAGTAAAACATACTGACTGGAAATAGATAATATTGTATTACAATTATTTGTGAATTTGACATTGTTTTAAATGAAACTCAATATAAAAGCTCAAACGGCAAATTGGCACTGCAAAGTATGGGAAAAGGTCAGTTTTTATCAGATTTTAATTATGTATCACCGACAGAGAGCAACACTGATGACTATACTACTTATAAGGAAGTCTAGTACCACATAAATCTACAAACAATTAGACATTAAATGTTGGTATCCCTTTTGATTTTTGCATAACAGAAGGTAAAAAAATGCAAAAAATCGTAAAAATTGTAAGCTATGAGAAAAGCTCTTCTTTGGCATACTGAACTTTTGGCCAGCCTCCGGGTGCGGGATTTTCTCGCTACGTTGAATACCCATTGGTGCCCTTCAGCTTTTTGCTGTTTGGTCGGGTTGTTGTGTCTCCGACAATTTCCCCATCTCCATTCTCAATTTTATGAAATAATAGTACATGAATTTGATTGAAAACTACTTTTTTTTAATGTCTATTGTTGTTAGAACACAGCCTATTCACCCTCTGACACACACCTTCAATATTTGATATAAAAATGCAGCACCTCAAGATAATGTGTTGGATCCTATAGAATGTGACCCCTAAACTTGACATTTACTATTCAAGTTCAATTCTAAATTCAGAAAATTCAGAGTGCATTTATTTTTTTGATTGTGGAACAATCCACATAATTACCAGTTTAAATATTGCCATTTCAGGAAATATTCTCAATAATGAAAACATTGCCAACATTTCTGAATTGACAGTATGTTCTTGCTTGCCATGACCGTTCAATGCAACTAAAATGTTTACCTTCAGATCTTGCCCCGCCTCCTAATAAAATAAATCAGTAAATATCTCTAAAATGATACAGATGTTCTTCCTTCTACTATATATCTTGTCCATGCACAGGGGTTCGTGTTTTGGGGACCGAATATATATCAGTAGACTGGTATGCGTTCTACATTGTCCGCTATAAGCAAACTGTGGAACGCATACCAGTCGACTGGCATAGAAGCATCAAAGATACGACCCCCTGTGGTCCATTGTGGGAGGCAATAGAAAGTTCAGACCCTTTGATCAAGGGCATCTTTTATTTAGAGCAATGACACCAATGTGTTCATTTAAAAACCAGTTTTTACCTAATTATTAGAAAGATTGATACACATTGTGAAACATTATAACTTTCGTTCCGTATTGTTATGAATTACGCCCAATAAGGACAAACACACGTTAAATACTGATTTTTCCCCAGACGTGATTAATGCATACTTTTTGTTTAACTCTTGACACATTTGTTATTTTTTTTATAACTTACTTAAATGACATTAACATGTGGTCTAAATCAAAATCTTCTTCTGTGCCTAAGTCTCACTGAAGTGCATTGGTGGTATAGTGCAAAACTGTCATACTAAAACATAAATATTTACATTTTGTTTACTATTTTGTATATGATGTTCTTATTGCTCTTATCTGTCATGATAGCAGGTAATTCTAATCCTTTGGAACAAGAAACACTTTGTATCTACAACACTTGGATAAATCAGAGTGTGACTACAGCAGAGTGTTGCCATATGTCACAATGTCCCTAATTTCCCATAAGAATACCATAAAAATGGCACAAAGAGAACTGTAGAAGATATTTTTCTCACTGGCAATCATCTCATATCTCCTATTTCATAAGATTGATAACTGGGGAACACAAAAAATGACAAATACTTGGTTTCAGTTTGAATATTACAACTATAGAATTTAGAACAACCAGAAGTACTATCAGTGACACACAAAGTTTATATATTTTTGTATTTCATCTTTTGAATTTAGAACCAAAAAAGTACTATAAAAAATTACGAGGCACACAAAGTTGATATATTGTTTGTCATTTTATTTGCTGGACATATGTTTAAAGAAAAAAAGTGGATCTATTTGAGCAGTGCTCACAGTAATATTAATTTAACATTAATTTCACTTTAAGGATGAAGTGAGGCGAAATTCATGCAGTTTTGTTCAAATGTGCAGTCTGAGATGGGTTTTTCCAAGATACAGGGTAAATTGTTTTGCCCCGATATCACCGAAAAGGATTTCAATAACCTATAATAATTTAAGCGTGTTTTGTTCCTTCATTAAGGAACTTCTGATTTATATTATCAATTTCAGCCACCAGATTTTTAAGATTTCACCTGGCTACATCCCAAAAACATAAAGTGGAGAACAAGGGCGACAGGCGTATCATGCGCTCATGGCGCAGTTCTTTATTTTGTTTTTATTTGCATTCTACAGGTATTTTAGATTCGGATCTTTCCACATTATCTTTCTTACACGGTGTGGACTCTGCCTTATTTAAGAAAGTACTATACAAGTAAATGCACCTTTAAGAGATTCAATTTGTTTAATATTTATCCAGTAGATTAACTTTAACTTCAAAATAATTCATTTACCTGATAGCCTCCTCTTAGTCAGTGTCATCTGATGCATCATCAACC